GTGATAGCTGTGTCCCCGGAGAGGAATAGAGGAATAAGCGTCGACTACAGTAAAGAGACAGATAAAGCCCCATTAACTGCTGCTTCCAGCTGCTTTCTCAGGCTGTGCCACCACATGACTCCCCCTTGATGTTTGTTTATCTTTCTTATTATTTATTCCCCTAATTGCTGCGTCTCTGCTGTCTAAAACAGGCAGCCCTCGTATCATTAAATACACAGCAACGACATGACTTCACAGAGACATACTGCGAAGAGAGTGGACAGAGAAACACACCAATAACTATAGGCTGACCATGATTGTATCTATGACATAATTACTTCTGATCATTGGTTAGATGCAAAACATAGTGTGAGCATACACACATATATATAGATAACAGAACTGCATGTATGATGTTACATGATCTTACGTCTCCAAAAATGCTATATAATTGCTTTCTGGATTATGTTATACACACAAAGTGTGACTTCTAGTACCACACAGACATCGCAGGGAGGTTGGCAGGATGGATGTTATCCATACGTAGCGCTGAGAAAGATCAAGGTTTTGGTTAAATATAGAAAAGGTAGGATTTTTAAGACCCCAACTCTTTCTCTAACCTTGACCTTAAAATGCTTTGAGCTTCCTAAACTCAACCATAAAAATATTAATCATGTGGTAGTTGCCACGTTGCTACAAGTTAATATTGTATTGCAATAGCACTAATGTCTTACCCTAAGTGTAACATTTTGCATCTTTAAAGATATGCTGATTGAAGCTCATTCTGTGGATGTTGATTTCCGCCAAACCTAATGTCCTTGGCCTAGGACCAATTCTTAAGCAATCTCCCCCTAGGACCAGAAAAAGTTAAAGCCTCACACAACCAAATGGAATTTTAGGCTACGACAGGTTATATGAATATTGTGTGAAAATATACCACGGTTGCAAATTAGAAAAATATAATAGTAATTTTTAAGACACATGGATGCTAAAAGCATTAATGGACTAATGCATTCCATCATACTGTATGTTGGACCACTTTAGTTGAGGGGACACAAAAATAGAAATCATAAATGATTCATTAAGAAATTGGTCATTACGCAGAAGGTTAGTTGTTACTCACTGGTTCATTAGTGGCAACAGAGTTTTCTCAGGTAACTTATCATTACCTACTACATAGTGCTCACTTTCTTTTAGTATTTACATTTTGTGCAAATACATTCATTTCTGACCAACCATTTTTACATTCTTGAATTGTCTGTATATAGTAATTTTTTATTGTTAGTGGCAGAGTCCGCCTTTCCTCCCACACAAGCAAGGAAACAAAGGAAACAAAAAACTAAGATCTGGACCCTGTATTATATAAACGATAGCGATTGCCACCAGTAATCACAGGTGCCACCAAATCAACCAGGACTGAAATCCTCGGGATTATAACTGAAAAGAAACACAGCCAACAAATACATCATTGGTCCACGCCCTCCAGAACAAGACATTTCTGATGTGACGTCAATATCGACCAGATGACATGCTATATAAAAAATAAAACCGTTTTCTGATCCTATACTGCTGTGGTTAAAGAAACATGTTTTAAAGAAACCATTTATTGTCGGTAGAAAACTGGAAGCGAACTCCAGTCTAGTCCAATGTTTTGTTGACCCACCCATCCACCCCGACCTCCTGCCTCTGAAGACTTTGTGGCTCTATAATAGTGTCACCATACTTCCTCCTTTGCTCTCAACGGACAAGAGTCAAAATTCCTACAATCGTTAGGGGTCTTTGTCGCTTGAATGTAAAGATTTGCTGAAACAACTGATACTCTCGTTTTACTTGGGGGGAGAGTCTCCAACAGACTGATAAACAGAAGTATTGACCCATAATTACACCAGCTAATTAAAACACCACCTTGTGTGTGTGGTTTCTAATGTAGACTGGAATACATTTGAATCACTTATTTCCGTCTGTTCCTAGACTCTTGCCCTTCTTTGTCTCTTGCTCCATTCACCTTCTCTCATTTCATCACCCCTCTCTCTCTCTAAGTAAATAGACAGGGTTGTGATGGATCCAGCTGTCCCATCTTAACTTCCTTCAGCTCAGAGCAGCTACTCCCACTTTGATGACTTTGCAGTGAAGGCAGACATCTTGCACATTAACATATGATTGTGCCCATGTATTATTTGTGTATGAAGGGACTGAAGAAAGGGATCGGGAGAAATCCCAGTGCAAGCTGTCATCCGAAAGAGAGAGAGCTAAAGAGACACGGCACTTGAAAATTCGGAGTGTCACATCATTCGCGCGGAAGGAGTGCAAGGCTAGAAGTACTCTTGGTCTTCCTTGGCTGTACTGTGGCAGGAGTCAGAAAAGCAGGTCAAGGGGATGGAGTGTCCACAAAGTTTCAACCTGCAAGACTGTGCCACTCAAAATGTTGCTTTAATGATTAAGTAAGCAGAGGATTTGGTTAATATTAGGAAGCCGGTGAGATTTTATTAATGTATCCGGACGCATCTCATTCAGGCTTTAACTTCAGTGTATGTCAAATGTCCAGATAATTGACCAGAGGGAGGCCATTTCCTCTAGCACACTACAGCCATTAGGTCTGCAAGACGCAAACTGCACAGAAGCATACCTAGGAAATCACTCTGTTCTTCAGTATTGATTTTAAACTACAACTTCTGGATCGTGCACTCAGCGGCACTTCCACTTTTAAGATGAGACAGATGAGATTTATCACTGAAGATGCAGGAGATGAGAAGCAGTGATACGTTCGGCGCTGTCAGTCACTCAATGCAGGCATTAGTCACCGTGCCTCTGCTTCTCTGATCTGTTGTCTGTCATCGCAGCGCTCAGACAAATGCATCACAATCTCTCTACACACACACACACACACACACACACACACACACACCTGTCTCATTTTACACACATGCACACACACAGTCTCTCTTTTTTCTCCATGAAAAAGAGATGTTCAATTTCCCTCTTCGCTAAGTGGACAGCTCGTGTCCTTCACAAAGCATGCAGGAAACAAGGCCTTGTCGGTGGATGGATTCTCCCTGGCACGTCCTGTCAGCTCGTCCAGGTGATCAGAGAGAAACGTGGGTAATTTATAAGACTGAGAGCAACAATGTGATATGAGACACAACTCACCGTGATCGAGTGTCTCAATTTTTTTCTTGTGAAGCTTACTGCGTGTTTGTAAGTTTAAGTCATTGTTATTCTGTGCGTAAAGTAATGTGAGACTAGGGTTGAGGTTGATAGGCCGAAAAGCCTAAAAAAAACCAAAACAAAAAAACTGATGAGAAAGCGCAGATTTGTGTGGGGAAGGAAGATTGAAGTAGTCATCTCGCCAGAATACAGGGGCCATTCTTTGAATATTTGATGCAGACGGATAGCTGTTCACTCCAGTGGAACAAACTGGATTGGAGTCCAGTCGCTCATCTGGAAAAGGCTGTAATTTGAAGTCGTAGCTGCAGAGTGTCCTTAAGATCCTCATTTCCTTCCCAGAAGAACTTCAACCTCTGGATCAGCCCACCTGGGTCCTGCCCTCTGCTGAGGTCGCACTGTGCACACGCGTAAAGGCACACATTATGTCTATGCATGCGCGCAGACTAACACACACACACACACACACACACACACACACTCAGACACTTGAATTTCACAGGCAGTAATTGTAAACAACAATTTGCTCCCAGATGGTGGATTTGGATAGAGTGTGGGTAAATAGATTCCCAACAGTCTTGAACCTACAATATTTTGCATTCAACTTTTGGAGTGTGTATTAATTTTTTTCCAGTTTACATCCTGCTGATGTGTTTTCCTATCCTACAGAATTATTTAGAAAGAATATATATATTGATCATACAAATTCTTGAACATATAATCATGTCATGACATTTAGTCATGACACTTCTCATTATCAATCAATCGTCTGATTATTTTGTTTACTCAAAAAATTGTTTCTTCTACAAATTACCAGAAAATATAATTTCCCAGAGCTCAAGGAGACGTCTTCAAATTTAGTTTCATCCCACTAACAGTCCAAAACCCAAAGATATTCAGTTTACTATCGTGTATGATGGAGAAGAGCATCTCACATTTGAGAATTTGGACAAGAATTTGGGGATTTTCCTTACTTGAAAATCAAAACTGTTGCCAATTCATTTTCTGTTAATCGACAACTCGATGATTGATTCATGAATGGTCCTCAGTGCTATATTCACTTAATCTTTTCACATTTTGTAGAAACAGTTCAGGTTCATTTTTGCTACTTAAATCAGTTAGGGTGTAGTTTGTAAAGCTGCTGGTAAAATCAAATGAGACAGAATCAGATGGACTGGCAACTGTACAAACTGCATTGGCAAACATCAAAATAGAAATTTGTGCTGTAGCTTTGCCAGTGACTTCTGAGAGAAAACTACATTTGAGACAATATTATTACACACAACATAGTAAACTTAACATAGTAACGGTTATACTTTTCCTTATATAAATGTATTTTTAGCCAATTAATCTTGAGGACAGTGCCTACATATTTCTATGTGTTTCAACTCTCATATCTGCTTTCTGCTACATTTTACTGACACGTGCATACTGTAGATGTATACACCCCTAACACCACCAGTACAGTATGAATGCACACATACATTTACATACATATAAAGAAAGTAACTTTTAATATGAAGTTTTTCTTACTTTTTAAGTATCTGTTAAGTATATAGTGCAATTTACAGTATCTACTCAGTAAAGAAGAAATTATGTACAATGCATATTTTGTAAGACCTTAATCTTACAATCTTAATCTTGTTTCCTTGTTTTAAATGTATTACTTTAATCTAATTCACCCACAAGAGATTTATGTTCTGTCTTTGCATCAGACATTCAATAGTCAGTATTTGCACTTGGTGTAAAAAGCAATATAATAGCATTAACACAGTACTTACAACCAGTGTGTGATTACACCTTCCACTAATGTCATCTCATCTCATCTATGTCATCCGTCTGTTCTTATTTCTTTTAAGGTGTAAGTGTAACCTCCATGCCTCCCAGTGCCTGCTGCAGGATGGGAACCTCCAGTGCCAGTGTGAACACAACACCACGGGCCAGGACTGCCAGCGCTGCAAGAAGGGCTTCAAAGCCAAGTCCTGGAAGGCTGGTTCCTACCTGCCGACACCCAATGGAACCCCCAACACCTGTACGTACCCAGAACATGTTTATCTGTTCGTACTGTGTTGATCCAACTCATAAATCTGACACACAGTTAGATACAACACTGCTCGACGTCTGTCAGCTTGCTCTACTATATCATGCATGAATACGACTATTAATAGCCCTTTTTCACAGCAGCCCCTTTGACATGAAATAGCGTAAACACGGATGCTAATTAAGATTATGTTCCATTTAGAAACTTAATTAGTATCATTGGTAACACCTGTGTTTACCCGACCATTTCATGTCAATATGGCTGCGGTCTATTGATCTAAGTCAACATTTAAATATGTTGCAATACAATACTACAGACAGGAGATGTGTCCCAGGTGGGGCACAAATCACAAGAGACTGCTGAAGATTTAGGATGATTTATTCTGCAAAAGTTCTCTCTCTGATTCCTTGCTGAGACTCAGAAGAGAAGATGGATATCACTCTCATGTTTGCATGTTTGTGCGGTAAATAAAAAGCTACAGTGAGCAGCCGGTTAGCTTAGCTTTATTAGCACCTCTGAAGCTCAGACATTAATTTAGTTTATTATTCAGAGTTGTGTTTCTGACCCCCCCAGCAAATGCAGGTCTAATAATCACTCTCCTTGTGATTTGTTTTGGTCTTCACCAACTCCTGAGGGAAATATCTGTCTCTTTAGATGCTTAATGCTCCACTATGTACAACCAGCTAGTCACTAACTTCTGTCTGTCTGCTGCCTGGTGCTGAACAGGTAGTGTACAATGGGTTCAATAGATCTTTGTCACTGAAACGAGCGAAAAACGATGTTGATGAGAGCCATGAGAGTGGAACCAAAACAATAAATTTGCGACTGGTAAAACCAAAACAATGAGCTAAAAGAGGCTAAAATGCTTCATAGAGTTGACGGGAACTGCAGCGCCGTGATATCATTTGAATCTAATATAAACATACAGATTAGTGCAGCTTTAAGATACTTAATTTAATAAGCTTTCTAGTTGCTCCAGTTACATCTTGGACATGTTGGTGTTGTAGGTCAGCTATTCTTATGATACCTTAGTGCCCTTTTAGCTTTTATTGCTTGTAGTTTACCCCGATGATGTTATGCTAGCTTTGTGTCCTGTTGCTGATAGTGGATCACCGATAGCTCCAGCTCAGTACACAGCAAACTAGTGTCCAGTGGCCTGTAAACTGATGTCTGCAAACTAAAGAGCCAAGAATGGGAATAAATCCTACTTTAACCCCTCTGTACAGCCAGTAAACCGGCTCAGTGAACTGGTCTGAGGAAAACATGTGCCTCTGACTAAAGAAAATCTGTAATGGTCACGACACAGTTTTTCCTCTACACCAGTGGGAACTCTTTATTCTCACAGTAACATTTCTTATTTCCTAATTGATCATATTCCGTTTATTCCCTTTTGATCTCTTATGCTGTTCTCATTTTTTGCTACTGTAATGATCCCTGACTCTCCCGTGGCAACAATGCAGTTTATTTCCATCTCCAGCATTCTTGATTGATGAACGTATAGCTTTTCTCATCACACTGAGGTCCTGAATGAAAAGTACGATCAAGGGAGCAAGTTGAAAAGAAAGCGGAAGTTAAGAGAAGACGATGGAGAGGCTGAGCTCTCTGAGTCGTCGTCACCTCAGTGCAGAGAGCAGATCAGAGCTGTGTAACAACGTGGGAGTGCGTGGGGGGAAATCCTCTTGGAGAGTGGAGCCAGCTACAGTAGCTAGCTATGATAAAATAATAATCTAGGGCAGCCCCTCCCTAGTTTTCTCCTTCAGACAAACACAGACACACTCACATGCAGAGAGAGAAACACAGGCGGATACACACTCACATACACCTGTACCTGCACACACATTGCAGAGAATGGCTCTATTGTCAGCCCTATTATTTATCATGCATTTTTTTCTAACCCAGTTCTAATGGTACTGACACACACCTTCAGAGCCCATTACAACCCTTTTAAACTCTTGAATCCCATTAGTGGAATTTAAAAATTAAAAAGTTTGCAACTTGCTTGGTTGAAATGCTACACAAAATGGCCATGGTTCACCAAACAGTTTGGTCTCTAAAGACTGCATTATGCATGCCAAGCTAAGCTACCTATAAATACAAATCTTGGAAAATGTGCAAGAAAGGCAAAAAGTTCTGATTCAAGCGTTGCAAAGTGGTAGCGCTCTCTTAAAACATACATATATGATGAGGACCTCTGAATGTGGGGGATGTGGGCAAGAGTAACAGGTTAAATTAGGGTGGATGGGGGAGGCATTGGAGACCTAGTAATTACTCCAGGACATTGAGAAGTGGTCTACAACAAGCCCTTATTTTGCAGAGCAGCTCTTAAGATCTCTCTGCCACCTGAGTCTGATGAATGAGGCAGAGTCAAGTCTTTAGGCAAATTGAATGCATAAATAAACAAGTTCTCATCTCCTCTTCCTCTTCTTATTCTCTTTCAGGTACAATTGCTGGTTCACCCTCCGGTTCTAGTAAGTAATAATGCAAAGCAGAAGAGGTGGTATTCCACTCTCTTCCTGTATTGTCTCTCCCTCCCTTTTGTTGCATTGTTTTTTAAATTTAAGTTTCAACCCCAAACCTCGCCTTCTGTATGTCTCCTAAACTCTCCCTCTCTCCTGTGATGTTCAGCTGGCTCTCTAGTCAGTCAATTCTCTTTTCCTGCATCTCCTCTCTCGGTGCGGCAGCTTGGGCCCTGTGTGCTTCATTATTAATAGGCCTCTCTGTCGCCGTGTCCTTTCATCACAGCACATCACACTAACCTGCACAGGAGGAATTCTTCCACAGTTCTGCTTTTCTTATTTAGACTAAAGACAGTGCTGTTGATAGATTTAGGGAAGGGAGGGACGAGCAAAGGTTGGATGAGAATGCGTGGTGGATGGAGCAGCACAGAGAGCTCAGAAAGAGAGAGAAAAGAGACAGAAAGAGAGGGGAATGGGAGAGAAGGATGTTGGCATATGTTAGTGTGTTGTAATGCAGTGTGATTCTGGGTGAGGAGCTCGGGGAGGCAGGAATAAAAGGGAATTTGATTAGGGATTCTCTCTGTGGAGAGGCTCTCAGCCTCCGAGCTGTTAGACAGAAACGATCGGCAAAGTGGCAACATCAACCCTGACAGCACTGGGCTTTTCTCCACATGGCCGGACAGTAAAAGGCTGATGCATGGATAGACTTAGCAATTGGACTGCACTGCAGAAGTCTGCTTTTAAAAGGTCTCCTCTCACAATTAGATACAACTGTGTGGTTATTTGGAAAAATAATGGGTGTGATTTACCAAAGACAAGAATGATGCTTTCTAATGGGCTGATAATTAGTTTACAGGTTCAGTTTCAGGTTCCTGTAGATTCAGTTTTAGTTTGTTAATCAAGATTTTTACCTGTGTTGCCGAACAGCCACAACATCAACTTCATCTAAGAGGTTTACTGCTCCTGGAGCTGAGGCAGAGGGTGAAACTAAAGTTGAAGCTGAAGGTGAACCACAGGGTGAACCTGGAGGTGGGGCTGGACCCAAGGGCGAAGCAGAGAGTGCCATAACCATCTCAGAAGCCGAGCAGCCCCCTGCTGTTACCCATGAGCACTCTGGAGCCCCTCGGGAAGGTGCGGAAAAGTAGATTAGCCATAGCCAGAAGTAGAGAGTAACTGAGCACATTTACTACTTATTCACTTCTTTTCTTAAAATAAGTGAAACCATCATTTCATTGCAGTGACATAGTTCAAATAGGTGGTTTCATAATTTTTATTTGAATAAGGTGAAAATCCCTTAAAGAAATAGATTGGGTAATAGTTTAGTTTCTCTGTGGTACCATCTACTTCTCGGCCAGAATGTAAATAAATGCCTAAAATGTCGAGCTATTCATTTAAATGAGTTGATTTTTATGCAGTTCTTAAAATATGATCATAAAATGGTTAAATAATAATTTGCATGTGAATCCATAAGTAAAAAGTACTTTTAGCTTTGATATTACAGTACATTCTGGTGACAATACGCCTTTTGAATGCAGTACCTTTACTGGTGTATTTGTAAAGTGCGATATTGTTACTTTTACTTGAGCCACAGCTGATCAAATGATACAGCACGAGTGTTGTGGAGACTTGTGACCAAGTAAATGCGGTATATGGATGTGCTTATTCGCTGAGAAGTAGTGCATTTGTGTTTGTTTCATACATAATTCAACCTGCAACTTAGGTCTTAAGCTGTACATTGGCCGTATATATATTTGTGACGTTAATGCCAGATGTTTGTTGTCCCATCTTGAGTGTGAGAGCGTCAAACTATATGGACATTCAGACTGTATTTGTTCTGACTGAATGATTTTAAACAACCCGGGACGGAAGTGAACAGATTCTGTCAGCCGCTTCAATGTACAGTAAAGTGGACCTCAAACTCCTGCTCGCCCTCATGCTAAATTTAAACCTGCCATTTTGGTAGGCAGCGGACCTCTCATGTTCCACCAGAAAAGCACTTAGGACATGGGAGGAGCTGGGATTTCGGCACCACTGTGATGTCGTCAGACTTCTTTTTTTTTGTCTGAAGGAAATCCATTAAGAGCTTTTGTTGAACAGCACAGCACTTTTGTTGTTTGGCTGACATCAGTAGGGAACTCAAAGAACTCACTGATTAGCTGTGATTTAGGAGGGGCTGACAGAAGCTTTCACTTTGTATAAACAGAGTTACAGTCCTTTGTAAAGCTTTTTAAAAGCCCGCTTGTTTATAGTTTTAATGTTTACGTCCATATGACAATTAAAATTTTTCCAAACAACAGTCCAAAAATCAAAAGGTATTCAACTAAAATAGACAACTTGAAAAAAAAACCCCACACATTTACAAAGATGAAACTACTTTTTATATAAAAATGGACTTTGTTTAGATTTGATTGTGTAACGGTTGTTTATTTTTCATCCATCAACTAATAGATTAATCATATAATCATTGCAGCTTTAAGCTACAATGTCAAACTCTTATTCAGATATAAGCTGTTTCTTGTTAGGATAAAACTATCAATTATATTTAATTCATAAAATAATGTACTCCTAAATTATGAAAGCACAAAATATACACAATTAATTGATGTAATTTGAAACATATAAAACCTAAAAAGAAGTTGCAGTTCTGGGACACCAGAAAGAAAGATCATAGCATCAAAGAGTCTTTCTGTCTTTTTTTATCTCAGGTTTAGAGAACTGTATTTGGCTTGAACCTGACCCTGATGTGAGCAAACCCTTGTTATGTGTGTGTGTGTGTGTGTGTGTGTGTGTGTGTGTGTGTGTGTGTTGTGTGTGTGTGTGTGTGTGTGTGGTGTAGATTTATGGCGGGCATATGGTGCAGTTCAGTGAAACCCATAAATCATCTTCATCCCCTCCTTTTCCTCCCGGGGATCTGAGGTCTTAGGTTCCATTCTCACAGAGCGGCCGCCACTAGTGTTTGTACCTGCACACTGATACACACACACTTACACACACACAGAGAGGTTTTATCACATTGTGTGGCTGAAGGTCCTGTAACATTAATAACTAGATCACATTACAACATTAGTTATCTTGAATAATATAACCTGTAATCTCAGTTATCTTCTCAGACTCTCAACTGCACTCAAAGATACATTCCAAGCTTTAAGATATTAGTATACTTGTATAAATGTTGACTTTATCTCCATGAACTGTGTAGAAAAGTGTTAATACGGAAAAAAAAATACTTGTCAACATCCATCATCCAAATGTGGATGAAAAATAGAAAAACATGCTTCCAAACTTTTTCCAGGAAATTGAAATTGCAAATCCAATTTTAGGTACGCACTGTGGGATTTAACATTAAAACCAATAATATGTTTCTGATTGTATCCCGTGCTCCCGAAGCAAACGTATCCTTATAAACATTACAGCGGAGGACTTATAGGTTGGACAGCACGTCATAGTAGTTGCACCCTTTGTCATGTCCCTGCCCCAGTTAAGTCACTGAGCATGCTCAGATAAGGATTAGCGATCTATTGGCAAGAGAGTCTGATCCACAGAGCCCACAGCCCATTGGTCAGCTGGACAGATGGGCGTTTGGCGAAGGGGGAGGGGAGGTCAGAGAAACCAAATCCTAAAAACCAGTCATACATCTAACAGCCACCGTGACCTCACGTGACCCCACTTCATCTTTTCATTCAAGAGCCTGAGTACAGACACAGTACAAACAGACACACGCAGTCACATACATACACACACATGCAGACAAGTACGCAAACTCACACACACTTGGGATGTAAGACACTAAATCATCCAACTACAATCCTATCTGTGCACCATCCTCATCTCCATTTAAATCCTTGCATTTTATCAAGACTGAACTTGCCATTGGACTCAGAGAGACTGGATCATGTCTGGAAAATCATGTGACATATTAATAAAATCCATGCTGTCACTCTGTCCACCGCCATTAGGTGTTCTGGCAAACGTTAACTGGTCCTGAATTGCAATGGCTTCATTAGTGGAGAGCTAAATCAATGTCTAGCACTCTGGTAATAAATGATGAGAATGCTAAGACTGACAGGTGGCATTAAACATTATTGTTATCATTTCTCAGGCTTTATTAATGCAAGTGACAAATGATCTCATTAAATGCAAATGCATTTGTGTTGGAAGACACCTGAAAATGTGTCCGAGCAGGGAATGTACACGACCCAACACTGTGTGCTCGCTGAAGTGTGTGTGTGTGTGTGTGTGTGTGTGTGTGTGTGTGTGTGTGTGTGTGTGTGTGTGTGTGTGTGTGTGTGCCAGAGAGTGTGTCATGGGACAGTAAGTGAGTCCATCTGTACAGAGAGACAGGCACATGTCACAGGATTATGTAATGAATCAGCTTAGATTCACTTCATAAGAGAGTGATGGCGCTGTTGCATGGCTGAAAATGATACTAAAGACCTTGCCATTGCCTTTTTTTTTTTTTTCCACCTTTTATTTCTACATACAGAGTCCAATGCCTCCAGCGGCTCTGTTTCTGGGGTTGGGAGCTCACATTTCAACCCCCTAAACCCTCATCATTTTGGTCTAAGTGGAGGTAGGCACTTGCAAACTAGGTAGTATGAGACTTTTTGTGCATAATGTAATTTAGTCATGACTGCAGTGTGATTATACTAGAATAGATGAGTAAGATGGTTAAAAGTTATGTAAACTCCTGCTATTATTGATGATGTAGAGCTTACAAAAACCCTGGACCCCAAATCCCCTGCTAGCCCGAGATTAAAGCCTGCCAGATCCCTCTTTCCTGTGCCTGGTCGACACTTTCTCCATCACTGCTTTCCAACTGTCTCATTAATTAAAAAATATATACTTTATATGGGAGTGGACAACCCACTGTCATTCATTATTCAATTTTATTTGTATAGCGCCAATTCATAACAGAAGTTATCTCAGGACACTTTTCAAATAGAGCAGGTCTAGACCGAACTCTTTAACATTAATTACAGAGACCCAACAGTACCACCATGAGCAAGCACTTGGCGACAAGGGCAAGGAAAACTGCCTGTTAAAAGGCAGAAACCTAGGACGACCTCCGGCTCTAGGTGGGTGGTCGTCTGTCTCACCAGTTGGGGTGGAGAGAGAGAGAGAGAGAGAGAGAGAGAGAGAGAGAGCGACAGACAGACAGACAGGTGCACAGCAACAACAGTATTGGCAATGGCAGTCAGCAGGACCATGGCAGGAGGCTCCACCAGGATCCATGAGAACCTGCGAGACGAGAAAGCACAAGAACTCCGGGGAAGAAGTGGAGTTAGTAACATGCATTAAAGGGCATATGAGTGCAGTCCTTCAAGGAACAGAATGATTTGAACTAAATGTTATGTAGTGGCTTGGAAATAGAATGAGTTTTATGCTTTTTGTCAAAAAAATAACCACTGGTGTGTTACAAGGCAGTTTTGATGTAGTTGGTCTTGTTCACATCACATGTTTTAAGTAACAATTGTAGACCAAAAGAGATAAAAACTGATATTATTAGATATATATTTGTAGCAACTGACTGTGAATCTTTATTATCAGGTACAACCAGACCAGTAGATGGAGTAATTCCAGAAAATCTCCTCACAAAGAACAGTGCGGCAGCCACAAACTGAATGTCTAGCATCACAATTCTCTTATTTTCTCTCATTAACTAACTGCTGAATAAAAATGTAGCCACGGAACCATTTTTGCTTCACATTAGTGGAAAATAGTGTGATGATTAGGCAGGACATCAGAACAGTTTTAACAGGGACATTTTATACCAGGAGTTTTATGCTTTAGATTATGTCTGAATGCATAAACTCAGTATATTGTACCACTACTCAGTGCTGTGTTTATAGATCACTAATTGATTGCCATTGAGATGAAAGATGACCATTATTGTTCTCTCTGATTTAGAGATAACAAAACTGACTGTGTGCAAACACATATGCACACATCCATACACAAGATTGTAAGTGTAAAACAGAGTAATACACTTTGACAAACAGTGTGTGATTTCATTTTTACAACCATATTAACAATAGTCACACCTTTAACAGTCACTGTGTTTTGCAGGAAAAACACAATTTTCCAGCACTGAAAGGGTTTTGGAACAGCTTTTGAGTTTAGCCTATCTCAGCAGTGTGAAATCACACTTTCATTGTGTGTTCTCACTTCTGTGTGAATGTGCATGCTTGCTTGTGTGTGTGTGTGTGTGTGTGTGTGTGTGTGTGTGTGTGTGTGTGTGTGTGTGTGTGTGTGTGTGTGTGTGTGTGTGTGTGCACACATTTGAAGGAGAAAAAAGCTAAGAAAGGAAAGCCTTCTTTGGATAAACAATCTGAGGCAGCATCTCTTATGCTAATGTATTAGCCTGCTCATTCCTCATTGCATTTGCATTCTCTGTCCTCATGCACCTGATGCAACAGACACGGGAGCTCCACCAGCAGAACCCAGCTCAACCTCGCTAACAGACAATCTGTTACCCACCAGCCCTTTGTCTGAGCATCCACTGATACCCATGGGAGAATCTGACACACTTCCTGTTGCGGCAGAGGTCCTCCCTCCTTCAGCATCCTCTCAGTCAGAGAAGCACAGAGTTTCCCTGACACTAGAGAAGTTCACACCTTCAGAAACAGTCCCTGAACATTCACATCTGTCTCACGTAGTCCCAAAGGAGCCCACACATCATTCGGCTGCTGATCATCATCACCATTCAATCCAGTCCATCTTCCACCCCCAGACTCATGATCACCATCATACAAGCAAGTTCGGAACAGAGGAAAGACACTCAGAGCCGAGACATAGTGAGACAGGAGGTAAGGCACACCCATAGCTCTAGATGACAGTAGATATAGAGTAGAGTAGAGACTGCCAGAAAATAGAATAATCTAATTTAGAATCAGGAGATCATTTTCATTTACAGCCAGCATTATGGTTTTTATGATGCGGAAGCCCTCTGAAATGGACAATTTTCAGGAGGTAAAAGTCACTAACATCCTCATATACGCCAGCTATCATAATCTTATGTTGTTCAGCATCATATTGCATGTCAGAGACGCTTATTCAATTTAGGTAGTGGCAGTGAAATCTAGTTAATGTGGGTGAGTGAGTGAGAGGCAGTTTTGAGGGGTGGAGAGACACAGAAATGAGGGTGTGCGAGTACAAGGTTTGTTGAAAGTCTGAGTTCGTTTGACATTGTCTTTGCATCATTTGAGAGACATTGAGAAGATTGTGGAGCATCAGCCACGGGATCAGAGTGACAAGGATATAGAGGTAACAGGAGAGACAGAATCAGAACTAAGCCCAAAACATCCCCCAACATTAATCTCAATTTACTGCGTTAGATTACAAAATTGTACGAAGTGTCAAGATATAAATAAAAGGATCACGTGGTCTTTCAGGTCCTCTTCTTTCAGTCAGTATAGAGCAAGTGGGAACCCCAAATACTCTGGCTGCCAGTGTCAGACAGTTCAGGCTGAGCTGATTGAGATTAATGCCAAGAACGGTTTGAATCACTCCTACCCCCAAGGCAGTATGGGTTACTGAGATTAAATGTGTTTATGCTTGCTGCTGTGCTACATCAGCCTATGAAACAATCGTGATGCAGAATCCGGCTTTCCCACAAGAGACCTCTTTTTTCAGCCAGTGTGTGCATGCATGTGTGTGTGCAGCCCTGACAGATGTGTGAGAGAATAGGTCTAGTGGGGCCAGAGTCGGACATGAGTAGAGGTAGGCAGGGGTTACTTTGATGAGATGTAATGATGGCATGATGCCAGTTGTGTGAAATGGTCCAGGGTGCTGTGAGAACAGCTGCTGGCATCCTGTCTCACTGGAGCCCCAGGGAGGGGGTGGGATGAAGGGGAGCGAGTGGGCGGGAGTTAGCCTGAAGGGGGACGCTCCGCAGGGGAGCAGGATGCTTGCAGGATGCCCCCTTCTGAAGAATAACTGGAGACGTACATCGCCTGTACAAAAACACCTCAAGGGGAAACACAGATGGAAGGATGCCTCGCCGTATTCTCTAGCGGTCTGGTGATCAGTAGTCCCTCAATGACGTGCACAGTGTGGTCGCTTCACGTGGCGTTATCTGTATTTTCAGTCTTAATCATCTTTGAGGACTGTTTTATCTTGATTTACTGAATTGTGCCTGTGCTGCAGTAAATGGAGAGGTAAAAGTAAGACTTGATCCATAAACTGAACTAGTTTCACATTTCTCTTCCTTTATTTGTGTTCAAAGTAGCCCTAAAACCTGAAGCAAAGGATCCTGGGAATGGCTTAAAGCCCTCTGGGAAAGTGGAACATACAGAGAAAAAGGGAAGGAAAGGGAAAATTTAAGCAAGAGACAATTAAAAATGCAGTAAAAGCGGGATGTGTGTGCTAAGTTGTGTCTAGTACCTATGTTGATTCTAGATGCTTTGTGTGCACCATAGAGGGCATTAAATCTCAACATAAGGAAGTACACCCATGAGAAGATATTACTGTTATACAAAAAAGCATATAGCTTCCTATGAATATTAATATTTTGGGTAAATACAGCACAAAAATAAGAGCAGTCACAGAACTCCCTTTTCTATTATGGGAGAACAAAGAAACAAGCACATACGGAGAGTTAGAACAAGTGCCAGTCAGAAAATTTCATGACATTTAGATAAAAGGAAGTGCATGTCATTTCTTTCACACCCAGAGTCAAAGTGTAGTGATGAAGGAGTTTCTCAAGCCTCTCTGACTCTCACAGCTTTTTCCCAAGCCCAGGGCTGAGGCCCCTGATGGGGCAATCCACTATCTGACAGAGAGAGAAAGGAAGAGAAAAGGAAAACAAGGTCTCGGAGGAAGATGGGAAGGGAAAGAAAGGCAGATGATATCAGTAATCTTTACCCACTGCAGTATCAGCCTAATTATAAAGTTCTTATTGTTCAGGTTGCTGAGGAAAGAGCATGTAAAATACCTCATACGATGTCTGTTCTTGTTGTGTTAATGACGACTGCGGCGTGACAGTTTCCCACAAGTCTGAGGGACATCATGGCCACAAAACAACAACATCATCTGAGCACGGACAGAAAAAGGAGGCAGAGGTGGAAAAAGAAAGAATAACTGAAAAGACAGGTATTTCTTTATAGGTAGTAGTGGAAATGTTCTGGTAGATTTATATACTGTAGTTTACTTTTACTGCGGTAAACATGCAGTAGATAAACTTTAAATTTGACAGCTCACAGTGAAAAGTGGGACCCTAAAAACTGAAAACAGCAGAAATGTATCTAAATTTATCTTTTCACTGACATGATAGTCTGTCAGTCAACATAAGCGACACTGCTAAATCATAATTTTGGCACCAACAGCAGTGTCATATTTTTATCTGAGACAATAACTGAAGCTGAAGGGCAAGAAATGAAAAACAGACAGTAAGATAGAGTAAGGATGAAGTGCGGTGCAGAGAAAGAGTATATATAATTTATACCATAAGATGTTTTTGCTTGATGATTGTGGTCTGACAGTCTACCATAAGTCTGAGGGACACTTACATGAGACTCATGGCCTCCAAACCTCATCTGAGCACGGAAAGGGAAGTAAGGAAGAGGAGAGAAAAGCTGAAATAAAAGGTATCTCGTTTTTATGTGCTGGCCAATATTTTCAGAAAATTTACCTCATAATTTTGCTTCTTATCTTTCGATGACGATTGTGGTGTTTCAGTCTCCCATAAGTTTGAGGGACACGGACATGAAATTCATGGCCACAAAACAACAGCCTCTTTTGGACACGGGGAGAAAAGGGAGGAGGAGGAGCATAAAGGTATATATGCAGTGTAGTGGTGGTTGTAGTTAACTAGTGATGGAAATATATAATACATAAATTAACCATGGCAACTAAATGCTTCCTGAACACTTAAAAACGGGAAGCAGCAGAAATGTATGCAAGTTTTTTGCGTGCTATGATAATGAAAAAATGGTGTGTGTCAGTCTCCCACAAGTCTGAGGAGCACGTACATGAGGCTCATGGCCACAAAACCTCATCTGAGCACGGGGAGGAAAAGGAGGAGGAGAAAGGAAGAAAAACTGAGCACACAGGTATAGTTTAATGTATAGTGGTGGAGAGTATATAAATCTACTACAATATATGTAGATTTATATACTGTAGTTTACTTGTTCAGATGTGCGATAAAAAATCAACTTTGCAATACACAGCAAAATATGTCAGAAATATATCTTGATTTTTACTTATTTTAATGACAATTATGGTGTTTCAGTCTCCCACCATATGTCTGAAGGAAATGTACATGAGACTCATGGCCACAAAATAACAACCTCATCTGAGCACGGAGAGAAAAGGCAGGAAGATGAGCATAAAGGTATATCCTTGTTTTGTACTGTATTTATAGCAGTAGCTAAATCGAAATGGAAATATGCAGTACATACGCTTTCAGACGGGATAGACTTAGTATCTCACTGCAAAACATGGCAGAAATATATCTAGTCTTATGACAATTGTGGTGTTTCAGTCTCCCACAAGTCTGAGGAACACACACACGAGAATCATGGCCACAAGACAGCAACCTCATCTGAGCACGGGGAGGAAAGACACACTCAAAGGAAAGGTATTTGTTTCATATGTAGTGGAGGCGATGTTCTCCTAGATTTACATACTGCAATTTACTTGTCGTGCAGTGTAGATAAATCTCCCCCCCAAGCTAACTAACTAACCGTGAGGTAAATTACGGTGTAAAATGGGCCCCTGAAAACCAGAAACAGAAGATATGTATCAAAATGTTTGCTTGTTAATGTCAATACAGCAGCAAAAATAGATCTATTCTTAATGACAATTATGGTGTTCCAGTCCCCCACATGTCTGAGGTTCACGTACATGAGGCACATGGCCACAAAACAACAACCTCATTTGAGCATGGGGAGGAAAGGGAGGCCGAGGAGCATAAAGGTATCTCTTTTGTATGTACTGTTGTTGTAGTTATAGCTGTAGTTAAACTGCATTGGTTGAAATGTGCAGTATGCTTTAAGCAGCAGTAAGCTTTCACATGAGTTTAAACACTGAAAGTAACCCTAAACCTAGACCAAAAATAGCATGCATTTCTGAAATTTTTGCTTGTTTTGACAATGAAAACTGTTGTTGTGTGTCAGTCTTCCATAAGTCTGAGGGACACACACACGAGACTCATGGCCACAAAACAACCTCACCTGAGCACGGGGAGAAAAGGCACGAGGAGGAGGAGCATAAAGGTATATCCTTAAACAGTAGTGGTGGCTATAGCTAACTGTAGTTAACAATAGTGACAGAAATAGGCAGTAGATAAACTTTTAAAAAGCAAAAAACAGGCTCCTGAAAACTAGAAACTAGAAGCAGCATAACTATTTTTTTGCGTGCTATGATAATGAAAAATGGTGTGTGTCAGTCTCCCACAAGTCTGAGGGACACGTACATGAGACTCACGGCCACAAAACGTCATCTGAGAACGGGCAGGAGAGGGAGGAGGAGAAAGAAAGAAAAGTCGAGCACACAGGTATAGTGTATTTGTGTAGTGGCGGAGAGTATATAAATCCACTACAAAATGTAGATTTATATATTGTAGTTTATTTGTTGTTCAGATGTGCAGTAGACCAAAATGAATATTTGCAAGGTATATTCTTATTTAACTTATCCTTACTTTAGCAGTGCTGCTAAATCTAAATCAAATTATTGTTACAGTTTCCCACACATCTGAGGGACATGGACATGAGATTCATGGCCACAGAGCAGCAGCCTCATCTGGTCACGGGCAAAAAAGGGAGGAGGAGGAGGAGAATAGAGGTACATCCTTATATGGGCTGTAGTGCTGGCTGTGGCTAACTGTAGTTTGCCTGTAGTGATGGGAATATGCAGTACAGTTGATAGGCTAAACTTTCCCCAAAAGTTAAACACGGAAACTTAAAGAAGAGAACGGTCCCCTGAAATTGGGAAACAACCATCTTAAGCTACAGTGCTGAATCTTAGTTTGACACCAACAGTAGTGTCATAGTGTTTTCGTTTTCTGAGAAAACAGCATATATAATTTACCTTATTATCCATTTTTGCTTGTTATTTCAATCACAATTGTGGTGTGGTGTGGTTTCAGTCTCCCATAAGTCTGAGGGACATGGACATGAGACTCATGGCCAAAAAAAAACAACCTCTTCTGGGCATGGGGAGGAGGAGCATAAAGGTATATGTGCTGTCGTGGTTGCTGTGATTAACTGTAGTTGTGTAGTGATGAAAATGCAGTAGATAACCTTTTACCACGAGTTATACTTTACAATTTACCACCTCTGGTAACTTGAAACAACAGAAACTGTATCTACATTTTTGAATGTCTTGATAATGACCATTGTTGTGTTTTAGTCTCCCATCATTTTGATGGACATGGGCATGGACATGAGACTCATGGTCACAAACCAACAGCCTCATCTGGGCACGGGGAGGAACATAAAGGTACAATCTTATCTGTACTGTAGTGGTAGCTGTGGCTAACTGTAGTTAACATGTAGTGATGGAAATATGCAGTAGAAAAAGAGTTCATGAGTTAAACTTGGCAAATCACCAAGAAAAATTGGCCTGTGAAAACCTGAAAGAGCAAAAACTGTATCTAAACTTTTGACTGTCTTGATAATAAAGATTATGGTGTTTCAGTATCCCATAATTTTGATGGACATGGACATGGACATGAGACTCATGGTCATAAACCAACAACCTCATCTGGGCACAGGGAGGAGCATAAAGGTACAACCTTATAGCTATTGTAGTGCTGGCTGTGGTTAACTGTAGTTAACATGTAGTGATAGAAAATACGCAGTAGAAAAACAGTTCATGAGTTAAACTTGGCAAATCACCAAGAAAAATTGGCCTCAGAAAACTTGAAAACAGCGAAAACTGTATCCAAACTTTTGATTGTCTTGATAATAAAGATTATGGTGTTTCAGTATCCCATAATTTTGATGGACATGGACATGGACATGGACATGAGACTCATGGTCACAAACCAACATCTGGGCACGGGGAGGAGCATAAAGGTACAACCTTATAGCTATTGTAGTGCTGGCTGTGGTTAACTGTAGTTAACATGTAGTGATAGAAAATACGCAGTAGAAAAACAGTTCATGAGTTAAACTTGGCAAATCACCAAGAAAAATTGGCCTCTGAAAACTTGAAACAGCAAAAACTGTATCCAAACTTTTGACTGTCTTGATAATGAAGATTATGGTGTTCCAGTCTCCCATAATTTTGATGGACATGGACATGGACATGGACATGAGACTCATGGTCACAAACCAACATCTGGGCACGGGGAGGAGCATAAAGGTACAACCTTATAGCTATTGTAGTGCTGGCTGTGGTTAACTGTAGTTAACATGTAGTGATAGAAAATACGCAGTAGAAAAACAGTTCATGAGTTAAACTTGGCAAATCACCAAGAAAAATTGGCCTCTGAAAACTTGAAACAGCAAAAACTGTATCCAAACTTTTGACTGTCTTGATAATGAAGATTATGGTGTTCCAGTCTCCCATAATTTTGATGGACATGGACATGGACATGGACATGAGACTCATGGTCACAAACCAACATCAGGGCACGGGGAAGAGCATAAAGGTACAACCTTATAGCTACTGTAAGTGCTGGCTGCAGCTAACTGTAGTTAACATCAAGTGATGGAAATATGCAGTAGATAAACTTTTACCACTAGTTAAACATGGCAACTGACTGCGACACATGTGCCCTATTCTAAATTATTTCTGCTTGCTCGCTGGCTTTGCTTATGGCAATGATGACTTGTGGCAGCAGTCCCTCATATGTCTGAGGGACACATGCATGAGGCTCATGGCCACAAAACTTCATCTGAGCACGGAGTGAAAAGGGAGGAGGTGGAAGAGAAAGCTGAGAGAAAAGGTATCTGTTTCATGTGTAGTGGTGGCAATTTTCTCATAAAATATGTACTTATATTTATGCTTGTTATGACAGTGATGATTGTGGTGTGTTAGTCTCCCATAATTTTGAGGGACACGTACATGAGACTCATGGCCACAAAACAGCAACCTCATCTGAGCACGGGGAGGAAAGGGAGAAGGATGAGCATAGAGAAAGACAAGCTGAAAATAAAGGTATTTGTTTTATTTAATGGAGGAACTGTTGTATACTGTGGTTTACTTGTGATGCAGTTGCATTTGATAGACTTTTATTATGGAGTTAAACTTTGTAACTCACGGCATAAAAACATCCTCTGTAAACTGTAAACTGAAAACAGCGGAAATGTTACTTCTGAGCATCTGTCTGTTCCGTAAGTGCGTTTCCATTTACCTGTTTTTAAGCACATTTTGGGTTGCAATGGAAACACCAAAAATGTTTTAAAAAGTCAAAATATCACAAAACCGTTTTTACACTTGGTTGAGGTGGAGAAGTTGGCGCATTGATAAAAACAAAATGCCACAAAGTGCAACACAAACAGACATAGCAAATAAAAAATAACGTGTATTAATCAAAAAACATCACATCTGTTTATACAGAGGAGCCCATAACGTTCCTCTAATGAAATCAAATCATATTCCTCACAAACAAATATTTTTGTCTCAGACAGACAGTGAAGCTAAAGGTCAAGGAAAGGGAAAGATGGAATGGATGAATAATGGATCTAGTGAAAAAATAAGAAATAGATATATTGTTTATTATTTAGAATGCTGAGTAGGAAGTACATAAATAAAATTAAACTTTTGTGGTGCTTTTCCTTGATATGTCATTGATGATTATGGTGGGACAGTCTCCCACAAGTCTGAGGGGCACGGACACGAGACTCATGGCCACCACACAACAATTTCATTAGAGCACGGGGAGAACACACACCTACCTATACACACAGGTATAATGTTTATGTGTACTGGTGGAGAGTATATAAACATACTACAATATATGTAGATTTATATATAGTTTACTTGTGCAGTAGACAAACTTAACTTTTGCCCTTAAAATATAATAAATAAATTAGAAAAAAACAGAAATATATCTAGATTTTTGCTTGTTTTTTGTATTAACAATTGCGATGTGGTTTCAGTTTCCCACAAGTCTGAGGGACATGGACATGAGAGTCATGGCCACAAAAGCTTATCTGAGCACGGGGAGAGAAGGGTGGAAGAGGAACATAAAGGTATATCCTTATATGTGCTGTAGTGGTGGCTGTGTCTATCTGTAGATGAGAGTAGAGGATAAAAAGAGAGAAAAACTGAAAAGCAGTAATTTTTTGTATGTAGTGGTAGCAAGTATACTGTAGTTTGACTGTAGTGATGGAAATATACAGTACAGTAGATAGGCTTAACTTATACATATAGATTTATATATAGTTTACTAGATTTTTGCTTTTTATTGTATTGACAACTGCGGTGTGGTTCCCAGTCTCCCACAAGTCTGAGGGACATGGACATGAGAGTCATGGTCACAAACCAACAGCCTCATCTGGGCACGGGGAAGAGGAGCATAAAGGTATATCCTGACAGAAGGAAGAACATAGAGGTATAGCCTTCTATGTGCTGTTGTGGTGGCTGTGACTTACTGTAATTAACATGTAGTGATGGAAATATGCAGTAGCTAGGCTAAACTTATACATATAGATTTATATATAGTTTACTAGATTTTTGCTTGTTATTGTATTGACAACTGCGGTGTGGTCCCCAGTCTCCCACAAGTCTGAGGGACATGGACATGAGAGTCATGGTCACAAACCAACAGCCTCATCTGGGCACGGGGAGGAGCATAAAGGTACAGTCTTATCTGTACTGTAGTGGTAGCTGTGGCTAACTGTAGTTAACATGTAGTGATGGAAATATGCAGTAGAAAAAGAGTTCATGAGTTAAACTTGGCAAATCACCAAGAAAAATTGGCCTTTGAAAACTTGAAAGAACAAAAACTGTATCTAAACTTTTGATTGTCTTGATAATGACTATTATGGTGTTTCAGTATCCCATCATTTTGATGGACATGGACATGGACATGGACATGAGACTCATGGTCACAAACCAACAACCTCATCTGGGCACGGGGTGGAGCATAAAGGTACAACCTTATCTGTACTGCAGTGGTAGCTGTGGCTATCTGTAGTTAACATGTAGTGATGGAAATATGCAGTAGAAAAACAATCACCATGAGTTAAACTTGGCAAATCACTGCAAAAAAATTTAATGAAGATTATGGTGTTTTAGTCTCCCATAATTTTGATGGACATGGACATGGACATGGACATGAGACCCATGGCCACAGAACAACAACCTCATCTGGCCACGGGGAGGAGGAGCATAAAGGTATATCCTGACATGTACTGCAGTGGTGGCTGTGGCTAACTGTAGTTGACACACATAATCATGGAAATATGCAGTAAAAAATAAACTTTCACCATTTGTTAGGTTGTTTGCTTGCTATATCAATTAAAAATGTTGTGTCAGTCTCCCACAAGTCTGAGGGACACGTACAAGAGACTCACAGCCACAAACCAACAACCTCATCTGGGCACGGGCATGGGCATGAGGGAGAGCATAAAGAAGAAAAAGCTGAAAGGAAAGGTATCTTGGCAATGTCCTTGTAGATGGTGAAGTTTACTATGCAGTGCTAAACTTTTACAGCAAGCTGAGCTTATAGCCAAAAAATGGGATCCTAGAAACTGAAATAAACAGAAATGTCTCAGTGACATGACTGCCTTTGGATCAATTGAAGCTTAAGAATGAACCTCACAAGATATTTTTTGCTTATGTTCATGATAATTGTGGTGTTTCAGTCTCCCACAATTTTGAGGGACATGGACATGATACTCATGGCCACAAAACAGCCTCAACTGGGCACGGGCCGAAAAGGGAGGAGGAGGGGCATACAGGTATATATATATATAGTAATAACCATGTTCTTGTAGTGCAAAATGCCCACCTAAAAACGGGAAACAGCAGAAATATACATCCATTTTTGCTTCTTATGTTGATGCCGATTGTGGTGTTTCAGTCTCCCACAAGTCTGAGGGACATGGACATGAGACTCATGGCCACAAACCAACAACCTCATCTGGGCACGGGGAAGAGGGGCATCATGACAGAAAAGGTATCTGTTTTATATGTCATGGGAGCAATTTCCTTTTAGATTTACATGCTGAAGATTACACTAAATAGTAGACAGCAGCAGTAAGTCTTAATTTGGCACTTGACATCTCTTTATTTGAGAGTCAAGATAAGGGCAAGAGGAGAAAAGGCCCAAGTAAACAAGACTAGGTTGCAACTTAGCATATGGCTTGACCGTGTGTGGTAGAGGACTGCATTGGGATTGGGACCCAACACAAATCTCACGAAAGAGGGCAGTTTTTTCTTTGTTGCTGGCAGTCAAAAAATAAACAACGGGTCCTGGGATTTAGTTTGCACCCACCGGAAGGATGGAGATGGAGTCAACAGATAAAGTTGAAAAGAAGATTACAGCACGGTTTTACAAAACAACAGCAAAGCAAGGCAAATCTGGCATTTTTCAGTTTTCAATTTCACATTAAAATAATGTCTTTTCACCTGCTGGACAGGAGAAGACAAAAAAATCTCTATTGTACAGGAATGAAGGGTCAGAATGCTTGCTGGAGCAGACAGGAGTGTAACACACTCACAGCGGGAGTGGCTGGTAATGGTCAGAAATCCACCCGGAGTGGGATTAGGAAAATGTGCCGCACAGGGCTCTAGAGTGTGGTCAATGGACTACATTGAGGCAAACTTGTTACACAGATAGTTAGTGGACTGATTATTATTTGGTGTGCTTTAACTGTTCACTTATGCCTCTCTATGCATGGCAAGCTGTTTTGTCTGCTACCATGGCTCTATGCTGGACTATTGTGGTGCGCAACCATTGTCTCTGCTTCTCACAGCAGTAGGTTTTATGTGGTTTTCTAGTCTCATTCCCTCATGGTGAAAATCAGGTACTGTACTGTCTCTGTGACATTTAGGCGTCGACTTCTCTTTAAGTGGGCGGTTGTCGTGTGTGCGGACCCAGTGGGGCACGGACCACATCCTGCTTCACCCTTATTCAAGTAGTGATAGCCTTGGAGGGCAAAGCCTATTAAAAATTAAACTTTAGTTTTGTCAAGGACAGATTTGCATTCATAGGCTTACTTTGTTGAGGTTCAACCAAAAACTACAAGTAGACATTGTGAAATTATTAGATTGTTGAGAAAAAACATATAGAGTTTACCTTATATGATGTTTTTGCTTGATACGTCAATGGCAACTGTGGTATTTCAGTCTCCCACCATTTTGAAGGACACGTACATGAGACTCATGGCCACAGAACAACCTCATCTGGGCACGGAGAGAGAAGGGAGGAGGAAAGAAATGCTGAAAGGAAAGGTATTTCTTTTCTATGTAGTGATGGCAATATTCTCATAAAATATACCTCATATTTTTGCTGGTTATATTGTCAATGACAACTGTGGTATTTCAGTCTCCCATCATTTTGAAGGACATGTTCATGAGACTCATGAACATGGCCACAAAATAACAACCTCATCTGGGCACGGGGCGAGATGGGAGGAGGACCATAACGAAAGAAAAGCTGAAAAGAGAGGTATTTATAGTGGTAGCGATGTTAGAGTAGATTATTGATGGCGCAGTAAATATACAGGAGATAAACTCTGCACGTGTTAAAGTTGGCAGCTCACTGTGAAAAAGAGAGAAAGTGGAAACAACAAATATATCTAAATCTATATTTAACTTCATCATAGCCTGTCAGTCAACATACGCTATAAGGCTAAATCTTTTTGATACCAACTGTAGCGCTTGTGTTTATGAAACAATGACTGACACTGTAGGGCAAGAAATAAAAAAACAGACGAGAATAAGAAGGTGAATTTGACATTGAAATAAACACATCTGTTTCTGTGTTCATAATTATGCAAGTTTTAAATACGCTCATGTCTTGATGTCTGATTTTTGATAGTAAGAGCATTTTCCGTTTTGTTTGGATGATACTTTTTGAATTAAATAGCTCTGTAGTGTGCTAAATACCATGTCAGTTACATTAGAATTGGATCTATATTACCAAAGGTTTCTCGCAAGTCATTGGATGTTGTTTCTTGCATTTGGTTTGGTAAAACAGCCCAAGATAATCTGTGCGACGTCAATATAGATTGATCTGTGAGTTGTTGCTCCTTTGTAGTGCATCAAGTCATTGAAAAATCTGAGTGGGAAAGAGGGAGACATGAGAGCCCAAAACACACTCATGGGAAAGATGATGAAGACAGAGAAGATAGAGAAAGAGAGAAAAAGAAAGGTAAAATTTGAACGTGCAGTATAATAGCACAGTGATTCGGAACTGGTTGCACATTCGGACCCAACATTTATCATGACGGGGTTAACAGTTGGCACAGTATTGCAGTCGTAGCTCCATTTGCCATGTTTCTAAGTCTGAAGTTTGAAAGCACTTGGAGTATTTTCAAGAACAATCATGATGAATGTTTTCCATAACAGTTTTTAATTCCAGTTTGAATTTTTGGGGGGGGTGGTAAAATTATTTCATCACACGGTCGACTGGTAGCGGTTCGGGAGCTTTCAATCACCCATGCCCAGTTGTCATGAAAGATGTTGTTTCTTCGTTTTTTTTTAGCACTTTAAGACTTCTCGTCCATGTTGGACTGAGAGTTAAATTCTTGACCTTGGAGATGGTGGTTGCCGTTCTTCTTGGAAGATCAAAAGCTCCGGAAAAGCTACTGATCTCACCACGATGGCACTTGTAGTGGGATTGTTTTACCAACTGCTGTTTCCAAGGTCAAAAAGATGAACTTGAATACTTGAAAGTGTCCTGACATCAGTTTCCAGTCCACAAATAGTCAAATATTAAGTTGTCAAATCAGATTTGACTTGAGTCAGGTGCAGCAAACAGTTCTTTGCATATAGACTACTAAAATATTGTGGATGGCTTTTGGATTCTGTTCAACCAGTTAAGAAACACTGCACTAGGTGAAGATTATGTCAGCTTTATAGAACAAAGCAACCCTGTTCTTTAAAGGTAGAATCTAGTGGGAATCCCATCTACTTAATACATATGACCTCTCTGTAGTGCTGATAGTAACCTATAGGCTAAACCTGCTCCAGCTGTTTGAGGGTATAGTACCGTAGATGACTGCAGCAGGGCGAATGATGTGGTAGAAAAATCTTAAAAAAAGATTCCTTCATCCCTCAAGGGCTTCTGAAACTCTTGATCTCAGGAGAGCCCCAGGCCAGACAGTTGTTTGGGATCGTATATGATGATTTCAAAGGTAAGAGACCAACACGAGCAGCACGCTGTCTGAAGATACAGACAAGAGACTCGAGCTTGGTTAAATCCTCTGGATTCTTTGGTTCAGATCAGTGGATTTTAAACTCGTTGGATGCTGTTTTTCCAACTTTAAAACCTGTGGAAAAATTCCTATCACTGCATGTTTTATGTTTTTCATTTTGCTCATTCTTTCCCTATGCATCTGTGACTCCCTCGTGGTTGTGTTTGCTTTTTGTGCATGATCAAGGTAAGCGTTTAGACTTTTAATTCATATTAAACCATCAAATAATTGCCTACATTGACATTCCTGTTTATTGGTTTTAGAAAAGATGCTTGTTAGCATTATTATTTCAACCTCCCAGACTCTTTGAAGCAGGCAGCTCTGTTTCTTTCTCTCAATTTAACTGTCTTTCACCGTTAACAATTCACAATTGATAAACACCAATAAAGCAGCATCTTGACTCGTAACGTTAATTTGCGGAACAATGTCCCATTGCCTCTCTAGTCTGTGGAGTAATTGGCCATTTATATTTAATTAGGCAGTTCTTCCCCCACTGCTAGCATAGTTCCCTCAGTGCTGAGAGAGGCACTTTATGGTGCTCCTCTCGCTGGCTTCCTTTAAACCAGCTCATTAATATTTCAGCTGGCATCATCAACCAAACAATAATAAAATAATAATGTGACGGCTGATTAAACAGCTAAACTCCGACTTTTTAATGTGCATTTAAATGTGTATTTGCATAAACATGCCTGGTAAACGCCTCTTTAGAGGACAGTGATGCCTTGCAGCACGTTATTGCAGCCAACTTCTAAAGCTTAATAAAACCTTAATTAGGTACCAGCCTCAGCCAAGATAATCGAGAATGTAGAGCAACACCCCTCCACCTCTCACTGCACAACGCAGATCCTACGGTAAATGATATCAGGCTTTCATTTCTCTGTGGAAAATTATACAAAAGGTCTTACACCATTCTCCACAGCATAATTTTTTTTAGCTTTGGTTTTAGGGTGTGAAATTTGAAAGAGGTCTTAATTTATGAAGCGTGCAAGCACACAGACTAAAACCTGCAATCAAATCCTCTCAGATAATTCATGAATTACAAAGAGAAAATTTAATTAAGAGCTCTGATTGTGCAGCGCTTTATGAAAAAGAATTTAAGACTGTGGAAATGAAGAGCAAACAGAGAAAAGAGATGAGAGGCAGTGGAGGCTTTCTATCAGGTTAAGCAGGGTCAGACTGATTTCACAGTGTCAGGTGCAGTCTGAAAACACCTACTGAACTGTATCACTCACCTCAAACTCCCTCAGTTATGATACTGTAGCTTATAATCTACTCAACCAGTAATGCAATTAAATTCCCAGACACAATTAACATGCCTGTACTCACAGGCTGGCACACGTATATACACAAACAAGCTTGTACACACGCGCACACACGCACACACGCACGCACACACACACACACACACACACACACACACACACACACACACACAGGTAGTGGAATTCCCATCAGTAATCAGTGCAGCCCAGTGAAGCAGACTCAGCAAACCTGTGAGTGCAGGAATGGAGAGGGAGTGGTTTGTCTTTATTGAACCAATATAGAGTCAGAAAGGCAAGTCATAAAACACACTCAGAGTCGTTCATTTGTTCACTGACATGTAAAACAAAACATTTCAGACATATCCGTTCAAGTCATTTATCACTTCCTGCTGTCAGTGAAGGATTCCTGCGTTAATGCTTAAAAAAATACCCCATCCTATCCAAAGTTGTATACTTCAACATCATGAGCATGTATAACTGTCTTTATCTAATAAAAGAAACTTAAATCTGTCTCTTTTCTTTCAGACTGTGAGTGCTACGGCCACTCCAACCGCTGCAGCTACATCGACTACCTGAACATCGTCACATGCGTCAGCTGCAAGCACAACACCAGGGGCCAGAACTGCCAACACTGCAGACTGGGATACTTCCGCAACGCCTCTGCCGAACTGGATGATGAGAGCGTCTGCATCGGTCAGTCTGTAGGGGGTAGAGAGAGAGAGAGAGAGAGTGAATGGGGGGGGTGTTGTGTGTGATTGACAAGGAGAGATGCTTAAATTGTTGCTGCTTTTAAAATTAATACAATTACTCAGATGTTAAAGTGAAGATTACCACATCAAGGCAGTCTAGCGGTGAAACTTTAAATGGATGCACACAGTGGGAAAAAAACGAAGAAACAATATTTTTATCAAATATTTTTGTGTTGGCTCGGGATTTTAAAATGACTATAAAATTAAAGCAGATTCAAGTTGAGTGTGTTTATCCACATCAGCTTAATAGTGAATAAATTGTGGCCCTTGATGAACCCAAAGAGAATATTTTTTAACGTCTTTCCATACATTGTTTTGGTTTTACAGCAATTTTTTTTCTTCTATTTTGGTTCACTCTCACTGCTCTCATCTGCATATAGATGCCAGACGCAGCAGCAGACATTCACCACTGCTTTGCTAGTTCTGAGGGATTCCTGTCTTAAGCAAATGCAACAATACGCTCAGGTGACTGACTTGATCAGTCAAGAACTTTCCATTGTTCCTATATAAAAAACATTTTGACTGTTTTAGGTTCACTGCGCTGCTGCATTGTACTTAATCTAGAGATGAATTAGAAGTCCAACAGTGTTCATATAATACTGATGCAAACACCCTCAAGCAGCCTTAAAGCTAAAAGTCAACACTTAAAACCTCATTTCCAATCCAATGTGCAGGAGTGCAGAGCCAAAACAACTAAAACATGCAACTGTTCTAATATGTACTGTATAGATACTCGTACCTCTATATGATATACACTGTTTGTACTCTTCCACAGAGTATTTACTCTCTGTAAAACTCAGTCTTAATAAGGGCATGTCCTAATACTGTAAGAGGTCACTGTTTGCATCGCTGCAGAGCTAAAAATCTGGTGTTGATTTGGATCCATCTGTAGGTGGACGGCAGGGGGTTGGAGGGTAAACTCGCCACAGTTGGGGCACACACAGGGCCAGGCCTTGGAGTCAGCACAAATAAGGCCCCATTAGCTCATCTGCCAGCATACTGGCACACCGAGCACGGCAACAGAAATCAGTTCACACCAGAGTCTCTGGTGAGCAAGAGACCAAACACTAATGCATTTGCACACACATTTTACACAGCTATGCACTCTCCACACACATTCACTGTCAGCGGCTCACATAGAATTCCAGAATTAATGGACACGACCCACAAACACACGGATACCAACCGCATTGCTGTAGTTGTGTGTCATCTGGGCCTCTTGGCTTGTTTCACTTTTATGAATATTTTATAATACATTTTATAGTAAATTAGTTAATTTGATCTTGGGTTTAAGTGAAAGACAAACTACCGGCTTACATCAAATCGTGAGAGAAACATTGGTTCATCATCAACTGACAAATGCAATGCAAATACGTAGCTCTGCAATTTGTTACCATCTCTGATCAGCTCACTGATCTGAATATCAGTCAGCTTCTATAAATATACGTATTTGTAATAATAATTACTTGCAGAAATAAGAAAACAAATCTAAAGAAAAATTAAACGTCATCTTGTGTTAAATAGGTATACTCTAGAGTTGTAAATCTGTCTCTGACTGATTTGACATTGACACGAATCTCAGAAAGTAGTTAGCATTTCAATACAACAAAAATATGTTTAAACATGTCAACAGGTTGGTAGGAAGGGAGAGAGCTGAGGGTGTTTCTGAGAATAGAAGAGAAGTGTGTGGTGTTTGATAGGATATCAGAATCAAACAAATTTCAACAGACTAAACTTCTGCTTCTCCCTCATCTGTTCAAAATACCACAATGTCCCGTACACGTACACTGCCTTTGAAAGCAGATATTGTTATCAAAGGAACTTGCAGTCCTATTTAGATGGCATTAGTTTCCCAAACAACATCTGATATATACAGTACTTTCTGACATAGGACATCTGTCATTTCACTTTTCTGATGATGGAAGAGGAGTCACTGTAGTCTCTCCCTAGTGTTGTCGGCTGTATGATAGGATTTGGTTCAGTGAACCTCTTGGAGACACTGGGACAGCTTGGTTACTGTATGAGAAAAAAAATCAGACCCTTGGGATCCAATAGCAGTTATAACATAAATACACACTAGACTGTGCTTTTGCATCTGAATTTTGACCACAAAAGGTACAGATGATGGGCAAAACACAGAAATCTTTTGGGCTGAAAAGGGTCTAAATTTCAGTTCTGAATCTGCTGAATTTTGGAACATCTCTGTACTTTGAAGAAACTCCACCTTTTACATGCACAGCACTGTAGCTCTGAAAGGCTTCAATACCGAAGACTGTGGTCTGAATACAAATGCACACATTTTTGGCTGAACTTAATTCAACTCTAGTTTAAATCCCCCTAAAATTACAAAAGGCAGGAATTTCTAAATGACTCCATTTCTTTTTCCTCCACCACCCTCCTCTCTCAGAGTGTAACTGCAACCAGATGGGTTCTGTTCATGACCGGTGTAACGGCACAGGCTTCTGCCAATGTAAAGATGGTGCCACGGGGGCCAAGTGTGACGACTGTCTGCCAGGCTACTACTGGAAACAAGGCTGTTACGGTGAGTATAGGGAGACTGATTTTTGGTGGGTTCATGTCTAAAAATCCAGGGACAAACAAATGTTGTAGCCTACCAGGACCTTTGCAAGTGCACTATGCAACTTAGCTCAGGCATCTCACGATGTTTTCTTTACTCCCATGGGAATAGATCATGTAGCTCATTAGCAGCATCAGCTGCTCCTTTTATTGATGACCCTGTCACTCCTTAACCTCATTACAGGGAATCGCCTTCCTCTCCCATCTACCATCTAGTCGAGGGCCTCAGTCTCACATAGACCCTCCCCATCTACACACACACACACACACACACACACACGCACACACACACACACACACACACACACACCTCCATAGGTATGCATGCATCTTTACTGTGGGTTTATTTATTACAACATAGGGTGTACTTAAGTAAATAGTAGCACAGTATGTTTTAGATTTGACACCTTACCTCAAATACTCGAATGCAACAGAGCCAATTATCTTTGGTGTAATAAAAATTGTTACCTCTTGTAATTATTTCTTGTCATGGAAGCCTGATGCTCTCTATTTTCTCAAAGAACCTTTTTAGGTCAAGCATCTTGTGCAGCACAACTACCTCTGTGCTTTTCCTAATGCCTTTTATAGCATTTTAATTATGCTATTTGTTCCTCCAATCATTACCTAACACAATATCACACATGCAGTGTATTTTCTGCTGGGTTTGACACAATGATTTTAACTTGACCCTGAGAAAGTGCAGGCTGTAGAAAAACAGACAAAGAAAAGGTCTGCAAAAACAAAAAAAGCAGGTGTTACCTGTTGTTGTCCCTGAGGCAAAGACTGAAGAATTTATCTTTCCTCTTTCCTTCCTCCTGCTTTCTTTCCTACTTTGTTCTTTCTGCCCTGAATTCTTCTCCTCCCCATGTATCTGTTTCCCATCATGCTTTTTCTAACATTGCCCCTCCTTATCTTCCCTCACCTATCTCTCTCTTTGCCAATACATCTTTCTTCCGACTTTGTGCACTTTACTCCCCCACTATCCTTTTACTACCTGTCACTCTGTCACTTTGCTGTGCCCTCTTTATTCCCAACTCCTCTCTCTCTCTCTCATTCTCCTTACCTCTGCAATTCCGTCACCTCTTTTCCTCTACTTCTCCCTTTACTGCTCTGTCTGTCTGTCTGCCTCCGCCTCCGCTCACAGCTAACGTTTGCGACGAGGAGATGCTCCTGTGCCAGAACGGAGGAACATGCTACCAGAACCAGAAATGCATCTGTCCTCCAGAGTTTAAGGGGGTACTGTGCCAACACTCCCGCTGCGAGGCGGGCAAGGACTGCAACACCGCCTCTTCCCTGCACTTCTCCACGGCCACCCTGCTGCTCTGCACTCTGCTAGCCCACCTGCTGGCCACGTTAACTCCCCACTGAGCCACGAAAACCACCCTCAGACCAAGGAGTGTGTGTATATGTGTGTGTATATGAGGCAACGGGTGACCCAAAGAGGGTAGAGCCACCCCAGTCATGGACCTGACGAACACACACAGCAGCACTCGCAAAAAGCACACACGCTCACAGAACACTAACTAGCCTCAGTCTCCTTTCAAAACACACATACACACACACACCTCACAGGACTGTTATGATATGATGAGTGTGTGCTCAGGTGTGAGAAGGACAAACAGAAAAAAAAGGGGAGCGACCTAAGAGAAAAGAGATGCAGACGAGGGGGGGGGGGGGGGAATCATACCAACCACTGTTCCCTTTATTCCTGAGCTGGAGCAATGTGCATCAAACCAAAAAGCATAAACACTTAAATCACTGTTTCACTTCAAAGGGAATGGCTGTTGTAACCACAAGGACCTTTTTCTTTTTTCTTTTTTTCTTGGTTGAGTTAAGGATCTCGCCTCTGTTGGACTGACAGCCAACGTGTGTGTGTGTGTGTGTGTGTGTGTGTGTGTGTGTGTGTGTGTGTGTGTGTGTTCAGACTCAGTGAGAGCACGAGACATGTCGACACGATGGACGGGGGTCGGGAGGCGAGGTGCGCGTTTGATCCTGCTGCTGAGGCCTACATAGTATATTAACCAGGTTTCATTTCTTCTCAAAAGATGAGACTTGATTTGACATTTATTCTATTTCTGCTGCATTTTTTTAATTATAACTTCAGTCATTGTATCTAATGTGCCCACAGTCGCTGAGATTATACATATTATATAATATCCAGGGGGTTACAAATTATTTAAAAAATAGTCACTATTATGGTTGTTATAGGAATGAGTGATTGTTGCCACACTTAGCGAGATTTAATCTTCACACAGTATTCAGGAAGCAGAATTTAACAGAATTTAACAAATGAGAAGTCTAAAAGAGAGAAAAGGTATGAACCACGTATCAATATTATATGACATTATTTGAATATTTTTTGTAGAAATTATTTTTGTTTGGAGTTACAATAAATTATAAAAAATGACATTTACAATTATTCCAAATGAGCATTTTATTACACTGAGTGTAAACCTTGCAGTAAATATGACTGTTATTTGCCTTCTTGCTTGTACTTTATTCATTCAATCAAATGCTCATGATTACGTGCTGTTAACAACTTTTTTTTCCAGCGGGGTGAAAAAAAACGAAAAAAAAACAGAGCAAGATGAGACGAGAGAGCCGCCAGTCCAAGTCATTCATTTGATCTATGTCATTCACTTTGGACATGGTGTTGAATGTTTTTATTATTACACATGAATTATTCTAGTTTGAAATCCAACAGTCTGTCTGACAATCACACAGAATTGCTTTCCTGTTGAGAGAATATAAATCATTTTATTCTGATAAAAGTTGCAAAGAGCTTTTATATCTATAAATGTCGCTTGCAGATACATGCCAAGTGATGGGCTACTAAACAACATTTTCCAAGGTACAAACAGTCCTGACAGTCCTGAGAGACAGAGCCACTGACCCTGAGGCCAGAGTTTCTCATCTTTAAGTCACCTTGAGATCGCTGATTGCTGTTTGCAAGGATGTTCTTGTGACATTTTGTGTTTATCAAAAATGTCCTTCAAGTTCTTTTCCCTTAGCAAACAACATCAACATCATTTTACTGAGAAATGTTCTATTGCTGAGTCAGTCCAGGTACACAGTGGATAAAGAGACATGAATGCTGCATTACACCAGGATACAGTGTACATCAAAGATAAAAGGAGAGACTAAGCCTGTGAGAAATGACAAGACAGGGATTCTGGTATTACTCCTCTATTTCTGAGCTGGTAGTAGCTGTATTAGCTATTCTGTGTGTAGGGCTCATCCCCTCTGAGCCTGAATGGTGTCAAGAACTGAGACTTGGGAGGGAATAGTTTATGAATGTAGAACATTGAGAAATGATGTAAAGGAACACATTTCATTGTGGATCAAAGAGCGGGGAGTGTCATAGCCAGAAGAATATGTATTGCAGTATACTGTATGCATTATTGACTGACTGTAGTGTGGTGTTTAGATACAGTGCAAACATGGACTGGAATAGGCTAATTCATTGATCCCACATCTAAAAATAGAAATTTAAGTTTACATTGGCAGAGAGGTCAGAGGAATAGTTTAACATTTCAGCAAATATCACTTTCTTGTCAAAAGCTAGATGAGAAGGTAGGTACTACTCTCACATCTGTCCGGTAAATATTAAGCTACAGCCAGCAGTCTGTTAGGTTAGCACAGCATAAAGACTGGAAGCAGGGGGTAAACAACTACAGCAGCCTGGTTCTGTCCAAAGTTAAAATACACCTATCCGAACTTCCAAATAGGACTGGATACTAGTTATAGGGTACAAAACTCACGGATCAGCTTTTAAAGCAGTTGCTCTTCCCTACCATTTATTCCACTTCAAATTAAAACACACAACTCACATCTGTTTTGTCTATCTTTTCCACTGCACCGAGATTTAGGGAATTATCACTTTATATAATGAGTTAGTCTACAGTTCACATGCATGCTGAACCGTGGTGAGCGTCACAGATCTGCTATGATCCATTGCAACACTAATGAACAGTATATGCTGCTTGTATTATAACAAGTCTATTGTAATTAAATGTGCAACAGGACCAATTGTTCCATCCAGTGGCTTGATGAACAAAATAATCTGTGCTGACATTTAACTAATTAGGCATGTTCCATTAATACACTGTTAATCAAGATTTAAAAAAAAAAACTGTTGTTAATTTTTCTCATGAATGAAATCTGACAAATAACACTTCTAAATGATGTCTCTATTCAAGACAAAACTGTGAATAATTTTACCATTAGGGTTTATTACAGTAATAAATGAATATTCAGATCAACCTGACTAATTAAATTAAACTGGAGCAACGCTGCACTTTTCTGCTTTGAGATGAACCCGGAGACACATAAAAAATGAATGAGAGTAAACTCTAAACAACAAAAAGCTCCTCTGAACAGTTGAATAATGAGTGGTAAACTAAATCATCTTTCAAATGATGTTTGATCTTTTATATACATATCTCTTTACAGAGAGTGAGTGGATGTCATAATTACATTTCAAACTGGCCCGGCACATACAGTGAGACAACCCAAACGGGTTTATTAACATAAAGAGATGGATAGCAGGACAGAGTACTGCAGATACAGAAATAAGTACATACTGTCACAGCTACACCATGATCGTAACACTTTTATCTGATCTCATAAATTGACTCGTAAAGGTAGACCGTAACACCTGCCAACGCTGTTACGTGTGTGTGTGTGTGTGTGTGTAAGACATCACGTGGGAGAGCAGCGGCTGAACAAGTTTGTCTTTGGTCTCCTGAATGTGACTCGGAGTTTGGTGAAAAATGTCTCTATTTGTCCCTGTCATCTCTGTACTGTTTTCCCAGCTGTACCACTGCCTCCTGTCTGGATTATTTTCGGCTGTGAATTTCACACGGGTCCTTGAGTCGTCCAAGTCTTGATTGCCCTTAAATTCCCTTTTCCAGACATGCTTTGTTTTGAGAATACACATGTCAGTTACCTTGTGCCCATGGGTCTTTGTCAGCCATACTTTGTACAGCATTTCTTGTACATGGCCTGGTTTCCCTTTTAGGGTCACATGTTTCTTTGAGGTTTCACTTGAGCTGATCTCATGTTTCATCATCTTTTGTAAAAACAAGTAGGGTTAGAGGTACAGCAAACCTTTGCGAGACAAATCCCTCTGGAAGAGGCCTGACAGGGCACCTCGTGTTTTTTGGGAGGATAGCATGGATGCAATCTGGCCCAAAAACCTTGTGTTTTTAGTATCTGAAGTCCCAATCTGTTTGTACACTGACATCCCCACGTCAACCAAGTCCTACTTTATATCAAGAACTCAGATTAGGCAAAATCAGTTCCTGACTGACGTGTAAATCTTCAACAGAAAGTGACTATTTTAAAATGGATGCACCAGTCCAACTTTTTCTCTCTCAATACCAAATCCAATACCTAAACTGAGGATATCTGCTGACAGTGAGTACCCATCTGATACCAGTACTTTTTCCCCCAAATTTAAAAAAATCTATGTAACATTACCTCACTGCATGAAACTTATTGGGATCATTATTAGGTAAACTAACAGCAGGTTCCAAAATTAAAACCCGCCAAGCAGCAAATGCGGGTAAATCATCAGCAGCCAGGTGGCCAGAAGATAAATTGAAATCACAGCATATGTTTATAAATTAATCACTGTGTACCAGCTGAGACTACTATGACCCTCACTGTCCACAATCACCACCTATGGTGACATCAGCTAATCAAATCAAAACAGCTTACTACACAATGTCTATGATTTTGCCGCAAGAAACATACATTGTATGTCGTCACATTCTCAGTGTTAGACACAGACGTTTTTTGAGAGGAGGGGTCTAGGAGCCCCAAGATCCTGGAAACAATATGAACCCCAAAAAGGTTCAGAAAGGTTTAAAACATGAGGTAATTATTTTTAGTCAAATAAGTTTTATAAAACTGGTAAAAAATATTGTTTTCTGGTGCATTTTCTCAGTTTACTTGCCATTGGCCAATGAGCCAAAAAGTTAATTTTGGACCCTGGCTAACAGACTGTAACTGTAAAGTAACTAAACTAAAAGTGGGAATGTTCATTTTCATTCTTTTTAGGCTTGTGTAAATTTTAATTAAATGTTTCTACACAGCTTACGGGATTGCATAAAGCAAAACTGGTTAACTTTTTATCATATCCTGACCTGAGGGCAGGTTACACCATCCGGATCAACTGAAACAAAACAACGTTAACATTTAAGTGACAAAGCCTTCTAGCTGCAGCCATAGTAACTGTGACAGAAGCAAAGGGAGGAAGTCAGGTGACGTTGCTATAGTCCACATAAAATGGATTTATTTGTCAGAATCATCAGATCAGCAAACGTTTCTTTCATTCTAGGGTCTTGACAAACATTTTTTTGTTGTTGGTTCAACTAGTCCAATACATGTGGCACAGTTTGTGCTGTCACATTACAGGAGTTGTGTACAGATAGTCACAAACACTGCTGACAATGAGTAAGCTGTTATAGCAGAACAACAATGACCAAATCCAATGCTGTGTTTGCTGTCCTCTGTGTGTCCAGAGCTAAGGCAAAGGGCACTGCTCAGCTTCATTACATGTTCCTGCAGCTCTTCATCTAACCAATTCACCTGTGCATGTCTGAATATTGTGTCTTCTTTTTTCTTCAGTCCTCTTTTTCTGAACTGCTGTCCTCTACAAAGCTTCATCAAACATGTTATTAAATCTACTGTTACTTCCTCAGTGCAATAATAAGGTCAGTTTTAGAGCCTGCACCTATCCGAAGGACTGGATCGGTGCATCCCTAGATAGAAATCATTACCCTATACTATATTAGGCTTGACTTTAAACACATTGTTATACTCCTTCAGCTTATTGCACCTCGGTACAGACAGCTTTGATAGACACAGGACATAGTGATGCCGTCCCTCCTGACCTGGACTTCATCTACAGTTCATATCGTGATTCTGGAGGCAACAACACAAGTGCCAGCATGATTAAACACCATTACTGACGGATTAGAAATATTTTTGAGGCATCTTTGTACAGTGAAATCTCTTCTGAGATAATGCATACATGTGATAACACATAGTCAAACTGTTACACTCAAGTCCATGTGTAATGACGATGTCAATATTTACACAGTCTGTGGTTCTAAGTCGCAAATCTAATCTCCTGTGGCTGATGCTCAAGGACCTTTTTAAGACTCAATGATGGCTGGTTGGTTACAACGCTGCTGTGATTACTGTGCTGTTAAAAGGCACTCCTGTACACCGATACCTTACCGTAGTTTGACTTTAAGACAGAACAAGGAGATAAAAAGAGCAAAATACTTCAGAATCTAATAGTCAGACTTCAAACTAAATAACTAAACACGATACGGAAGGCTTTTAAAACATAATTTCCTCAAAAAACAATCTTCTAGGACAGCATTATAGATTTTCTACTGCCTAAAAAACAATGAAAAGATAAAAGACCCATCAATGTCATGACTGGGTGGGCTGGGTGGATGTTTTCC